AACTATTTATATGAGTATTGTATTATTACATGATAGCCGAGTCCTCACTGCAATCCCAGTGGTGACAGGCAGGACTCAATTCCCTCCTAGCGACCGAGTGGTAAGAAAGGGTCCCGTACTGCCGCCCTGCTCAATCGACGATGGTGCCTCAACGGCGGTAAAGCCAGCACGTCGTGACTCGGCGAGCTCCTCACGCCACTCGCGTACCTAATGATTAGGGTACGGCTAAATGAAACAATAATCGGATGTGGCCGTACGCTGGTTTGGCATATGCCAAGTCGGCCAGACAACATCGCCGCCATCCTACTCATGACGTCACAACAGTATTGTGATAATGTATGTCAATTTTTTTTAGTTAATGTGTTTTAACAGTACGAGGAAACACTTGGATAAATACTTTTTATATTTATTATCTGTCCGGTTTTTGTAAAGTCGCTTTTTAAATATTTTGAATTTAGAACGAACATTTTTAATTGCAATAACACTCAACGTTGAACTGATCACGTCACATTCAAAAGAGTTTGTTAAGCAATTTAAGTCTTCTGAATGAATCCATCTGAATTATGATTGCAACGTTTGATGGGCATATAAACTTATTTATTTTGTGGAATTTTTAGGTTTAATAAATTATGTGCCTCTTTTTACGGTGCAGGGGGCATACAAGCGGACGTATCCCCCGATGATAAGTGACTGCCGCCGCCCACCTGTAAGCTAGAGACTCTACGTTGCCGCTCTTTGATTGCCCCTCAGAATTAAGGGGAGGGAGAGTGCTGGGCCTCCGGTAATCCGGTGAAAAGCAGTGAGAGAATTGCTTAGCACCAGACTTCTGTGAAACCGTGAAATCACTTAGGCCGAGCTCGCCAGTACCTGCCGAAGCATGGCTTTCCCACCAATAAATTGATATCCATACTAATATTATAAATTCGAAAGTGTGTTTGTCTGTATGTCTATCTGTCTGACTGTTACTCTTCATGCTTAAACCGCTGAACCGATTTTGATGAAATTTGGAGATAGTTTGAGTCCCGGGAAAGGAAAAAAGGCTACTTTTTACCGCGATTGCCGACATAGTAAAGCTAGTCTACTATAATTTAGATGTTAGTTTACTCTAAAGAAGTACATTATTATTATTTACCATTTTACAACGTTATTTACAATTATCAATACATAATACACACATAATGTACATATAGATAGTGTACACGGTTATAGGAATAGAGATAAAGATTGGATATTACATTTAATTATACTAACACTACTGTAATATCTAGCCTCAAGTTTAACCATCGCAGTAGTTGGCTTAGCTTCAGAAACCAACAGATTCCAAACTCATTAGTTACAACCTTAAAGCGCAATAGTCGTAATTCAATTTTGCGTGGCTAAGATTAGATAACACAGAACTTCCATAACTCCAAACTGTTACTGAACTGTTATAAAGTAATTTGTTCAGTAATATAATTACTGAATAAATTACTTTATTTGTTACTTAGTTTATATTTTAACATGTTGTTCATGTTTACAATTATTATTTTATATGGTACTTATGGTTGCAATTGGATTATGTTAAAGTGCAAAATATATGAGAGATTACATATTAACTTAAACTAGCTATATATATATCTATAAGAATATATAATTGGGCCTTTTGATTTAGTAGTTTGCGATCTGAACTGCTAATAGTAGGGGAGCCCAAGAAGGGATTTCGGGATTTTTGTCAGATTAAGATAGGAGGAATACCTTACACCCAGTTGAGTACCTTTACCATACATGAGCCCTACACATAGGGGGGGGGCGTCTAGGACAGCCCATCAGATTAGTCAACGCCAGATTTAAAATAACCTTTTTTTTTTTTTTTTCCGTGCGGAAATCCCCTCGGATACCACCTATCGGTGGCATGTCGGACTCGAACCCACTAAAACCGCACGCCGTCCCGGGTACTAATAGCCGGGGAACCAGGTATACCCTAGAAAGGAAGATTTTTCGAATTTGCAGTTTGCATTTTCAATAATTCGCTACAAGCTTGTGTCACTTTGAATTTCGGTTTTCGGACCGAGAACCCATCGAGCATTTGATTCTTCGAACGTATAAAAATTGAAAAAAAACACGTCGTATTTACGATTTTCGGTAAAATAAATTTCGTGAATTTTAATATTAGACATTATAATTCTTAGGTATTATGAAATTCGGACTTTTTAAATCGGAGCATCGAAATTCGGAATAAAATATTATGGTATTGGATATTATATTCGATAGAGTATTTGGATGTTCCCCTTTGTATTTGAACTGACATTTATAATTCAAAATAAGAATTGTAGGTACATGTACCTTTTTGTTTTTTTTAATGCGCGTAATGCTTTTCGCACAGTCGGGAGGAGCTCCAGGAACTCATCGGGGCTTCTGGAGTCCTTCCTGCTATACCCACGACCGAGACACATCCCAGGGTTTCCCTATCGATGTACCTGTACCTGGTTACATCCACATATTCAAGACAATTCATCCATAAGGTTTTATTGATGTATTATTATCCCTGTTACATAAGCATCTATTTCTCAGTTATTTTTGTCTTTTCCTATCGCGGGCTGGCGCGCTACAATATGAAATGGTCAAGTTTCATTCAGGGTAACGAAACTGGCGCACTTGGGGAATTTGAAACTTTTTTGGCAGTCTTAAAATTTTTATTATCGTTTGCGAAGAACTGAGTTTATTTTTGATTCGAGAGTTTGTCATGTCTAAGAATGAAAATGAAAGCCACCCAGGAATTGCATTTGCTTTTCTGGGTGTAAAAAAGTCTTTGTAGAAATACAGTGACGAAGATGTAAAGCACGGACTTTCTCATGGGACCTTTCTCATAAGCTAATCAGAAACGTCATTAATTCGTTTCGTTTACTTTATTTTTTTTGAAAATTTCGTGACTGTGCACATGAGATGTGAGAATCAGAACTAATTCATTCTAATAGCAACAAAAAAATCTTTACTAAGTTAAATGCACCGAGGACGTTCTGATCAAATTGCACCTGTTGTGGTCATACCTGGACTGTCTGGACGAATTCAAACCTAAGATAAACAAAAATGGTAAATCCATTGTAATCATAATCGTTACCTAAGTCCTAATATATCTAATTTATTATTTTCAGTAGTTAACTGGGATGGTAAACACAATTTTATTTTACCCCAAAACGATTTGTTAAAAAAAACATTCCCTTGTCCATTAATTTTTATAATTTAAGCCAAAAATAAATACTTTCAAAGTTAAGCCGCATAGCTAATTATCAGTATTATAGTTATTTAAAGAAAAATCATAGTGAATACTGTCGTGGATCATTAACTTTTCTCTACATTTGGCAGCACAGGGAGCCACAAAATATGTCACTGTCTACGAGCAAACGCACCTGCCGCCCTCTCCCCGCTTGCCTAGTTTAGATTGCTTTTATTTACACTGATAGATGTAGGTTAAGTCAGCAATGTCATAAGAAGATAATAATTGTATATTCACTACATTACACTTGGAGTTTTACAGTCTGAAGTCAATGACACGGGTATAACCACCTTTCTATTTTGATCAATCTAAACAATTTCTCTATCTATAATTCTTAAAGAAATAGATAGTAGGTAATGAATTTGAGAAAATGTACGTAGGTATGTAAACTTTTTACGTGGACATTGGGGGGCATCTCAAATTGATTATGCCTGTGAAAATATTGAAACACTTATCATGAAAACTCTTTACCATAGTTTATCTAGAAATACTATTGATTGCTTTCTAAATACAAGTATCAGCATCGAGTTCTTAACGAATCTGGCTGAATCGATCAATCGAATTGAGAAATTACAGAGTTTATTTAAATTAAATATGTACATCCTGACCGTTTTTGGTTCGATTGATTGTTTTCATTTATTGTTATACATTTTGATTAGAATAGATAACCAAATCGATTAACCCTCCTCTCTTCCGGTAGGGCCTATCTATTACGTAGAATAAAGTCTGGTGGACTGGACTTGGTTGTCTATAAAGATCCCAGACTTCTAGATTTTACGATACTTTTTGGTTAGCAATATAGAGCTATTTGTCTATGTAGAGGTACACATTAAAAGTTTATTTAATCAGTTTATATCAATATATAAACCTATTATATTTCAAACCTATCTAGAGTAGCAACTTTTTTTTAAATTTTAAGTTTAATATCCTAGAAAACAAGCCATGTGAAGCAAAATAAGAACCATCACCTTGTAAAAATTCTGTAGGCGTTGTTCAAAAAGCTTTTCCTTCTGTTAATTAAAAATAATGTTCTGTCTGATGAACTACTTAGTTTACATTAAATCTTCTGGGTAAATTCCACTCACGTTTCATGGTCCTTACAGTCTGCACTTAACCAGCATTTTATTAGAAAAGCTCATTTAGTTTTTTTAAGTAGGTACACACAAGATTGTTGTTTGAACATGATATTGTAAATATACGCACATAGTGAGTAAAATAGTAAAGTTAGTATTCACGGGAAGTTTATTTTGATCAATGATTTTATATCTGTTACTTTAAAAAACTTGGTATTAACAGAACCTTATTTCACGCAGTATAGGTATTAAAACAATTACTATTGTTTAAAATATTATTCATACAACAACCGTGGCACCTATCCAATTTGGGTGTTATTTTAATTAATGAGCAATAAATATCAAGACGGAATCGATCCAGTGAATATAATGAAAAGCGCATTTGGCATTGCGCTTGCAGGGAACATCCGGCAACTTTTTTAATGTACGATGACCTTAACAACAACAGTTAAAAGCATTTGTTGAAGCCAAAATTGAGTGACTCGTGTCTCGAAGTATAGAGTAGAGCAGTGAGGTACCGATTAAACCTGGGTGATATTTTCGTGCGCCTCGGACTAGTCGCACAATCCATTCGGATAAAAGGGCTTGTGTTCCTCTTCGTGTGGTTCACTCTAGCATATGCCATCGTGCAATTCCTTTAAATAAAAAACCCCAGTTGCGTGTAACTGTGAATAATGGTGAGCAGTTTTCTATTACGTGGATGTGTTTTAGTGAAGTGATATAAGTGTTATTAATTTGTTTTTTTTTGTTCCAAATCTGAAAATGATATGGATTTTTCACTGGATGCTTTTGTTAATATCTTATTTTTGTTGGTGTTCACAGGAGGAACTTGACAAGGACCAGATCGCTAGTGAGTTTTATTATTTATTTATTTTCTTTATTGTACAGAATGACTTTTAATCCATGTAAAACTTTCAAATTAGTAGATCTGTATCTATTTTCAAAGATACTTATTTACTGCTGTGTTGTCAAATTGATACCCAAAATATATTTACAGCTGAATCCAATGAAGGAATATGATGAAATGACAACAAAAATTAATAAAAAGGAGTCTATCTCTCTTTTTAGTAATTGAAATAGTCACAAACATTTACCAAATAAATTAAACTAAAACTGTATTATATTTTAGTTCTGAGGAAAGCCTTTGAGGCGTTTGACCAGGAGAAAAAAGGATGTATCGGCACAGTAATGGTGGGTACTATACTCGGTATGTTAGGCCACCAAGTTAGCGATGAGACACTCAAAGAAATCATCAACGAGGTTGATGTTGACGGTGAGCATTTTGACTAATTGAAGACAATTTAAAAATATACATTTAGTTTAGGTAAATTTTATAACTTTACACATGTATATTTATACATTCCGGTTCCTATATTTTATTGTAATATAATTTTCATCCACTACCGAACTATATACAAATGCATACAATGTAATGATAGCACACATGATATTTATATATTTTATTAAATTTATGTAGGTTGATGTATGTATGTTTACTTATGTATGTGTGTTTAGTATTGTGTATGTCTCTGGACTTCAATTATGTTAAATTTAATATTTTATTTTCCACCTACCGCATCATATTTCTACAGCACCTGAGTTTTGGCTTTGAGAGAATGCCTAATAGCATTAAGTCCGCCTTTGTACAACATGTGCATAAAGTTTTGAATAAACCGATAATTAAAAAAAAATAGAGCAGGTCTAATTAAGATTTACTTCTGTTATCTTCAGCTACTGAAACTGATCGAGCAAGTAATATGCATTATAAACCTATTGGTTTATGAGTTATACATGTATTTTTATATATTCGTATCAGTTACAAAATAATAAGCATAGAAATATGAAATAATTTATTTAGGATCTGTTCTACACTACACACTACATAATAATACAACAAAAGTAAGCTTTTATTACAAACAATATCAAAGATAATATGTTAGTTCAGTCAAATTTACTACAAAGATTTTAGTAAATCAGTGAGCGACTTATACAAGAATTTGAACATTAAATTGCTCAAACATCTTAACACAACGATCAATAAATTGTATCTTTATAACACATTAGCTATCCATCCGCTTTTCATTATGCGACAGTTAAGAAATACGTCAATAATTTGTTTCTTAACTGCTTTGTTTTATCTGTCTAAACTCTGGCTAAAAAGAAAATTTATCTTTTTATTTTATGGTTTCACCGAGATAAGCGTGTTTTGTTAATTTTTATGTAAATTGGAAATTATTTATTATCTCTATGAAGTAGTTAATTTTGGGATAATTATAGGCGAATATGTCAAAAATATGTGATATTTTCATTTTATTTGAAAAAATGAAACTTAAATAAATTCATTTTATTGATTGACAACGTAAATGAAGCCTCATCATCGTCATCAACAGCCTTTAGCAATCCACTGCTGGACTTAGGCTTTGGGTGGAGGTTTAGGCCACGCTGACCAGACGGGTTGTTATAGGAATTTACTTATTATAATTAAGCTTTCTTTGTATATGGCAAACAAAATAAAGCTTAATTATAAATAAATAAATAACTTAATATCATAAAGCTTGTTTCGTGTAGATTGAGAATTCAACTGTCATTTCATTATTTTTGGATATCTTAAATAATCTTTGGTTTATTAAAATTACGAATGAAAACAATATTTCAATAATATTTATTTTTAATTGAATTAATAAATCGGTATGCTTTTAAGTACATAACACTTTACATAAAATTGAAAGAAACATGCCATGTAAAACTTGCTGGAACAAGCTGGTGGTTAAAAAGCACTAGTGAACAGTAAAAGAATTCATCTTACTTGCAGGATCTGGTGAGCTGGAATTTGAGGAATTCGTAACGCTTGCATCTAGGTTCATGGTTGAAGAGGATGCTGAAGCCATGCAACAGGAACTCAAAGAAGCATTCCGGTTATACGACAAAGAAGGTAGGCATTACATAAAACAATTCAAGAAATGAAGAGTCAAAAAAATATTTAATCAATACAAAGAATTGACTTGATAATTGTGATAAATCTATGTGGTGTGATCAAATTATTAGTTAAAAGTAAATAATGAGTGAAGACTTTACCATGATAGGCTGTCATTAAAGTGTGATTTGTAGGATATTTAGATCAAAATAATATTTCAAAGTTTAAATATTTCAACCGCTAAACATGTATTTGTAAGGTTTTATTAATGGTATGGTGGGGCCAACAAGCAGACGGGTCACCTGACGGTAAATGACCACCGCCGCCCATGGAAACCTACACACATGACTCAACTCTGAACTCCCTCCCCTCACCCCAGCCCCCATAAACATCGACTGCACGGATGGCGTAGTGGTTTACGTGGTCACCACGTCGCTTACTACTACGCTGAGTGTTGTGGGTCCGATCCCACATGAAACGACAATATGTGTGATCCACAAATTATTGTTCTGAGTATGGGTGTTCTTTGTGTCCATTTCATGTATGTTTGTAAAGTCCCCCGCGACACAGGATAAATTCCTAATGCGGGAGTTGTATTTTTTTAAAAAGAAAGAAGAAGAATATAGGTGGGGTTTTGGATGCCGCTAACTTCCATCGTCCGGTAAAACACAACAAAAGATTTGCTTAACACCTGTTTCTTGTAAGGGTCTGGTATCACTCTGATCGAACTAGCAGATTTGTATACAACTATCCTCTCTTTTCACTTTTGTATAAATATAACAAAATAGGCAACTATAAACGATCTTTAAATATAGGCAAAACATTTAGTAGACTAGAGTAATAATTCAACGCCTATGAAACGTTCTAAAGCATAACAGTTATTAGACACTTTGTCTGTTACTGGCAACTGCAGGGAATAATGATCACCTGTTGAATCTGCAATTCAATTTTGATAATGCAACGAGAATATTCTACAATGAAGTACTAACTCTCACTCTGTTTTCTCATTAAAGTCTCAGATGTAAAATAAAATAAATAAATATAGTAACTCTTCTATTTGCTTTATATACTCCACGATTAATGAGGTTAGTAATTTAGTCAGTGTTTACTTTATGAGCAACAGTAGTAGTAAGATGGTAAGTCCGTTCCTACTTCTGAAGAAATTGGTATATATATATAGATGAGAAAGATGTGCTGCGCTTTTAGCATAATTAACTTTTTAAGTTAATGTTTTAAGTTATTTAATTACTAAGCATAGGACAGGTATATATTTCGGACATAAAATACTGTGCCACGTCTAAATGGAGGTTGACAGCGAATTTGCCTTTTCGGTTCAGCTTTGCATACATATTAAAAAGACCGTAATTTCTAAATGATCAACTTTATTTTCATTACTTTTCAATATTGAGCAATACTGTGAGCGAAGAAAGTGTTATATGTGTTTTCTTTTTAGTCGAAAAATATAGAGTAGAAAATCCGGGACAGAAAACTCATTTGACACTTGCACCTTCTGCTAAACAAACTAATACGCGGCAAACAGAATAGCATTGTGCAGGCATCTCTTGGCCGAAGTATATTAGCTAATGATCTATCCCGAAGGAAAATAAGAGGTGATTGTGGTTCAAATGCCGATAACGTACTGGTGTTCTACCCAACGCTCAATCTTCAAACAGAATCTCTATCTTTTCTATACACAAATTAATTCATATTTACATAATATGTCAGGTCTGGTGAGTATGGTGATAAACACCAGACATGAAAGTATCACTTGTATAAGTAGATAGAATAGAATAGAATAATCTTTATTGTACACCGATTCAGGATATTATACATTCAATAGTATTCCAAGTTAATGACCTACCTATGATACACCTACTTGGTTCTCACTATTTCAAAATTTGGCAATGTTCTGCTTATTTGTGTTTGGCAAAGTGTTATTTTCTTATCTAGCACAATCTAATTTATGTTATTGTTGATAGTTCAATTGATGTTAAATTTGGCAGACTATTGTAGTCTGAGTAATGTATATCAGTGGATGTTTATTGTATTACTGATTCGATTTGATCTATCGGTGCAGTCAAATATACGGATGAAAACGTAATTTTATTTAAAGAAAATGTTTCCTTATAGATTTTCTCTCTGCGCTGGAGGGATTTTAAAATCCATTTTCTCCAATATCAATCGACCATACGCAGTCTCAATAAAATGTACAGTTTCCATTTACCATTTGATAAAATTTACTCTTGCCACATCGTTAGAAATTACATTTTAAATTATGATGTTGGTCCAAAATAGTCTCTCTGAATGTGATTTGATCTTAAAAAGTATTTGCAAAATTATAAGAACAATAAATCATTAACGGTAATCAAATCACTTCCTTCACAAAATTAAAGAAAACAGCTGCGAGATATCAAACAGATTTATCTCACCATTAGTTTAGTTTCGTTGACGTTGTATTTACATAAAAAAGAAACATGATTTTAATTTTCATTACATATCTTATTTCTTATTTTTATTTCTTAAACAGACAACTCCCGCACTAGGAATAAATCCTCTTTCCTCGGCACTTTACAAACATACATGAAACGGACACAAAGAACACCCAGACTCAGAACATTAATTTGTGGATCACACAAAGTGTTGTCTGATGTGGGGATCGAACCCACAACACTCAGCTCAGTAGGAAGCGGCGAGGTGACCGCTTAAACCACTACGCTATTCTGGCAGTCAATATCTAGTGGATGTCAATCTATGCAGCTATGTCCATCTTCTTGTTACTCGTAACTACTGATCGGATGAATTACTTGTAGGCTTGTAATTTGACTGAATACATTTTTGAACGCAATATTGTAGGGTTTTAATTTCTCACAAACATACTGATTATTAAATTTATGGTTTTTAAAAGATGATTACTAAAATAAATACTACTACAATGTTTATTCTTAATTATTCCTTATTTATTGGGGCTTGTAACTTTATCACAAACATTTTAAGTAGATCAGTATTATAATAACCTTTCTTGAATTTGGATAAAATAAAATATTAAAGAACAATAATATCATTATGATTTTAGAATTTATAAATTTATATACTTCAAAGAAGTCGCACAGAGATGTATTACAGCAAATGATTTTTATGTATAAATAACTGTTACTTACTGTTTTTACTTACAGTATCGTTTTGGGATAAATCCTGTAAAGACACTGTAATTGTTTTTAATAAATAAATAAATAAATATAAGCGATCTCAACATATGCTAATTAAGTATGGACCGATCCACGTGGATCAAATAACAATGGGATCGCTATATAATACCAACAATTTACTAAAAGTGTCTATTTACGAGCATTCGGTATCTAAAGTTTATTGACCTCGACTAAAAAAATAATACTAAAAATATTCACAAAATTAATACTATTTGTATTTCGTTTTATTCCAATTTTATTTTATTTATTTAACGTTTACCAACTGTTGTTACAGATATAGATAGGAACATTCAAGTATTTGTGTCTTAAATCTAACAACCAATTATACGCAAACACCAAATGCAACTTTGTATTAACATATTATGTTACATAATTTGAAAGCTTATTTATTTGACTTATATTCTAAAATAATAATAAATGCTAATGACTAAATCACATTTTCATACGCTTCACGTGTCTGAAAACCGTCGATATTGAATCAGAGTGGACATCAACCAGGCTGCTACGTTCGTTTATAAGTTTGCACATGCGGGGTATAGGATATTCGCCTACACCGTACACTGTATGGAGCAGAGGTGGAGCGAGGGGTGTTATAGGTTTGCAAGTTGTTCTATGGGGTCCTCAAGTTGTTTTTTTTTTTTAATAATTGTGGACCAATGACAGGCAAAGAAAACATTAGTAAAGAGATCGTAACAAGAGTTTGTTTATTAAACTCTTTTGATTCCAGGTAACGGTTACATCACAACAGGAGTCTTAAGAGAAATTCTAAGAGAATTAGATGACAAGATTAGCGCCGAAGAACTTGACATGATGATTGAGGAAATTGACTCTGATGGCTCTGGAACTGTTGATTTTGACGGTATGTATTGCTTTGAGTAAAAATTAGCTTACTGTGAAAGTCCGACTGCACGGATGACGTAATGGTTTAGGAGGTCGCCTCGCCGCTTCCTACTGCGCTGAGTGTTGTGGGTTCGATTCCCACACGGGACGACACTTTGTGTGATCCACAAATTGTTGTTCTGAGTCTGGGTGTTACTTGTGTCCGTTTCATCTGTGTTTGTGAAGTCCCCCGCGACACAAGATATATGCGGGAGTTGTCTTTTTAGAATAAAAAAAAAATAAAAAAATCCTGAATGGCACGATAAAAAAAACAAAAACGAAATTGTTTGATTTCACTAAAGAAAATATTATCAACAAATAATAGTATTCTGTTTGCAATAATATCGTTTTTAACAAATGAACTTATTTGTAAAAAAAGTGTCTAATATTTTTAACTTTATTAGAAACACTTACCCCATTATGCCAAGTAAGGCGTTGGTATCACGCCAGTAGAGCATCAGCAGAGGGCCGAGTGCAAGTTTATTGCACATCGACTCGTTCTCTACTCCGAGCGGGTTTAGTGTTGCGATTGGTGGAGATTTCAGTGCAGGCCAATCGTCACTGTGACGATAGAGTAGAAGTGAAATAAACTCGCACTTGGCTCTCTGGCCCATTTGGACCAAAGCATAGCTCTCCCACGGTATTATTTCTCATTTGATTCACTTCCTAGTATGCCTATTCTGATACATTTTCTAAACGTAAGTTCATGGTATCGTTACATGATTTCAATTCTGAAATTGCATTAATTATTATATTAACGTCACTTATAAAGTATTTGTAGCCTAATCAGTTATTTATTGTGAACACACCCCTAAAATCCAAGGCAACTGGGGCTCGTAACCTCTTAATATTATGACAGATAGGTCGACAAGACATGGCGGAAAGGTATTGTTAACGAGGGTAATCTAATTATTTATTTATGAAATAGAGCTTCTATAAGTAGTTATATTTTTGGTTGTGTGTATAAGTGGATAGTTATTTATTAAACTTGGTGACCAATCAAAAAGTGTTTTGGCGTATATTATTGCTAAAGATTATGACTGGTGGTTAGGAATGGGATTATCTAGATATGACATTAATAGTGAACTACATAGGCAAATTAAAGTTTCATTTTTTTTAAACATCAAAACCAGTTTATTAAAAATCCGGGCACCTCTTGGAATTTGTATGAAATAACGACTTACTGACGATTTAGCAGTTGATGAATAACGTCTGTTGAATAACGCCTGTTAAAAATGAAATGAAGTAGAATGTAGAATGAAAATCGAAATGAAATGAGAATTGAAAGAAAAATATCTTTAACCGTCTTTAAAAAGGAGGAGGTTATCAATTCAGATAATTATTTTTCCTTTTATTTTTTATTTTTAGACTTTAGACTTCCTACAAACATATTGCAAAAAATGCAATGCTTATGCATTGCATTTTGTTTTTAAATGTATGGGCATAACTGCGTCATATATGACGGATTTCCAAAATTATTTTTTTGTTCGAGAGGTTTATTACGAAATGGTCCCATTTAAATTTCATATAGATCTGATGATGAGTTCTGGAGACAGACAACGGATCTCTTCAAAAAATGACAGCAAATCAACCGTTCTTAGTGCTCTTTGTTAGTATTGTGAGAAGTCGGTTTAACTTTAAAAAAAGGATATCCATCCCTACTGATGTAGGACTATAGAAAAACCTAAAACTTGCTTTACACTTATGGGATATTTTTTAATGGACATCAAAGAACTTATTAATTTTCATTATAACTACATGTACTGAAAAACGGTCAGTATTAGATTATTTATCGTCTTTTTAATACCAATTTTTTTTTATCGTTTAAACTACACTATTCATGGATGTAACTTTATTCTTTTAACTGTTTTTAAATGTCTATCTAATTTCCGATAGAATTCTGATAAAAATACTCCTGTATAAATGACCGAATATAGTAACTCTTAAACTATTGTGTTCTGTGGCATACAATTATTAATTAAGGTATATAAATATCTTGGAGTTGCTTAACATTTCAAGAAAGTTGCACTAGCCGATAGCCGCCCCAGTATGCTTCTTTTACCCGACTTCCAAGGAAGGGTTATGTTATTCACACGTTTCTTGTATGTTTGTTTGTAAATTTCTTTATTATCTCGTATCTTCCGAATGGTTGGATGGATTTCGTCAGTTAAGGTATTGTTTTATCCCTCTCAAAAACCCGTGTCAAAAAAAGTGTCCCTAGATAGCTTTTGAAAGAAAAAAAACAAAATGGCCTATTTTTGGGATAAAAAAGTGATAGATTAAGAAAAAAAATAACAAAACTTATCGAGTAGGGTACGAAAATCAAGAAATTTAAAAAGGGTTTATAAAAATATATTTAACTTATATATTTAAACTAGCCGACCAAGCGAACTTCGTACCGCCATATTTTTTTCGTGAAAATTACTAAATTGTGCATCTAAACCAATCTCGAATCCACTTGAACACACAATTTTTTTATCACAATCGGGCCAGCCGTTTAGAAGGAGTTTTAGTCATACATACACACGCATAAAACAATTTTATATTGGTTTTATAAAGTTTTTGAGCGTCGAGTTTAGAGTAAAAATGGGTTATGTTTGTGTCGGACCTAGTGCTAGTTAGTCTTTTTAATCAATGACGTTTGTTTATATATCGTTGTCTTTAGAGCAATACTTTTAAATTGTCTTTTTGGAGTCGTGTTTTTACTTATTTCTATTTTTACTTGTTAGCTAAATGAATGCTGGATAACTAAATATCGGCAGATGCAATACTGACCAAACTCCGTCAATACTCCACATTAATCTTCAATCTTCTTAATGCCAAAGCAGAAATAGCATTGGAGTCAATAGTTTGAACTTTAAAAATCCTACTGTTTTTCAGTTCATCACCTGCTCATCTTATCATTAGAAACAGCTACACTTAAACCTATTTAATAACGAACAGTAACTGTAGAATTGAAATATATTAGAAGAACAGATGCCAATGACAGATTCTCAGCCAACGCTAATAATACCTCAGTGTTACTGGTACATTCTCATTATAAAATAGAATTAACTTCACTTTCAAAATATGTTAATTAATTCCGTCTGATTTGTTGGCAAAATTAATAATTCAGCGTATGCGTCAGTTTAAAATATAGAATGTGGATATGATTGCATAATTTAATTTTGTAATTTACGAGAATATTCTTGCATTCACGATTATTAAGCACATGGATTAAGCATATGTATTGTAGGGGCTTAATAACTATGAACCATGTTTTTTACACGAGAATCAAAGCAACAAATGCTCGGGTTATATTAGTAATATAATATTTTTAATCAAGAGGTGACTGACTTCAACCACCGGATATCCACTATTGTAAACGTCTCATTCTAAAAACTTCTACGAAGAATTTGTACTGTTTTTATCCAATGACCCAAGGCTACTTATGTAGATGATTTCAAAAGAAGCAGCAAGATAGCCATGTAAGGCATAAAAAGCCTGAATTAATGATAAAAAAATTGGAAGAGATGAAGATTGGAAGATGAATGGGTGAAGGAAGAGATGGGTTGGTAAGAGAGAAATACTGTGGTGTCTTCTCTGAGAATAGTTGCTATGTTATACCTACATGTGAAAAATATATATTACTATCAAATTGAAATGACATAACATATTTAAATGTTATATATAGGTTAAAAAGTATTATTTTCATTAAATTCGTCATTTTCATGTCAAAGCTGTGTGTTGAGTTTTGTTTGGGAATTTTCAACAAATAGAAATAGCTTTTTGTTTAATGAAACGATGTTTTGGACTATGCTATGCAAAAAATACAAATTAATATTATTTAGAATAATTTATTTAGTAAAAGAGCAGAAAGACTATTTTTGCCACTGAGCGTTTTAAAAAGCCTTTAGGTATATATGTACACATCTTGAACCTTCCGTTTGGTGACGGATTAAGAATACGAAGACTAAGAATACGGATTAAATTATATGTTTTTGTTAACAGAATTCATGGAAGTCATGACAGGCGGTGATGATTAAGCGACTGATTACCACCGAAGGGTTTACACATCCTCAAGGATCCAGAATCACTTGACATGCCTCCAATGCCAGCAACTTTATTATATACAATGTGAACCTTAAGCATCTCCATTTAAATATTTAATAAGTTATTATATAATAAATTTTATTATTATAAGTTTTAATTATTGTATAATACCTATATAGGACAACCTGATTCGATTTTAATTATATTTTTTATATGCTTATATTTATCGCAAACACGACATATTCACAAAAACAACAATGAATAAATAGATACTTACATACACATGCACTCACGTTCATATCCGGGGTAGGCAGAGAAGACATACTTGCTTTTAACGAGAACCGTCTGAAAAAAATAGTCTGGTCAAAAAGCTGTTATGAATGAAATCCCGATATCATTTTTATCTATTTAAAGTCTACATGATATAAATCTAAACAGGTTAAGAAGAGTAAGATCTTAAGTGTTAGTATCCAAATAATACCTAACCCAAAAGCAATGGAGACCTTATCTAACTTTTACATTACACATTGTAAATTTCAAGCACCTACGTTTAATACATTCTCTTTTAATATTTAATACATTGAAACGTGGTTTAGTTTGAATTTTGTACAGTTACTTATTACATGTAATCATAGGTCAATTCCACCTGGGGTGATTATGGTTACTCTGGGATGTGATCATTTGGAACGGCAGGGGGGGCTCCTGAAGCCGCCGTTGTGTTCCTGGTGCTCCTCCTGACTGCCGAGGCAGGCCGCCGCGGGGGTTAGTGGGTAGACCGGTTCCCCGGGAGTCCCACACACGTACTCCCTTTTCCCAACGGAAGGTCAATTCCAAATAAGGTTGTGTTTACATGTAAAAATAAGTCTTCTTTTAGTTTAAACAATGCTACTGCTACTACTACAAGAACATCTGAAAGTATCACTGATTTTCTTCCTACATTAAACAAGTTTCCCGAATCTCCATAACGAGCGCCGCCAGAAGAAATGATAAAACGGAACGCATATAAAACTTCATGCTAAATGGCTAGAGAATACATAATTAAACCGGTAGATATCTCGTTTAAATAAACGTTGGTTGCCAAGCCAACTTATCTTTAATCTAAATGATTTGCACGACCTAGAAAATTGGTATTTAGAACACATGACGGTAGTTGATGGTTCCTACGAGTATTTAATTGTGAGTTTTCACCTGTCAACTTCAATTACAGTTTAAAAAAACTAAAGACGCTTTAGTAGCAAACAGAAATGAAAGCATAAACATTCTTTTAATGTAAAAAGTTTGAATATCAAAAAATCTTTTAGTTTTTTTTTTGCTATTATAAATAGCTATTAATGTACTACATTTACATATTAATAATAACAATTGATGTCACACACCCCATTCGTATATTTTTGGTGTTATACTGATCAGACTGCGAATAACGTACTATGTAAAAAAAACTGAAGTGACTAATATATTGTGGTAATAAATTAGGTTACAACCTAAATGCAACGTGAAGTGCCACAAGTTCGATTACTGTTAGATACAATATTTGTATTCCTGAATACTGATTCTATTTACAACTAAATAATAATAAAACTAGGTACAAAAATATATTTAAGTGTTTTCATTCGTGTCTTAGTAGCATCTATAGTTGAACCTAAACTTCTGAAAAGTTCCCGACCTTAACACGAAGATGAATAAAAACTAGTGAATTTCGTTGTTCATCTGTTGACAGTTACTCGAAAAAGTTTCAGCCATTTTGGACGCGCAGTTGTTATGTAACAGTCGTTTGAGTGAGTTGGTGTGAGTGTTTTTATGAAAATGGACAATATCGAGTATCGAGCTGTTATTAAATATTTATTTTTGAAAGACAATACGCCTACGCAAATCAAAGATGAGTTGGATTCTGTCTATGGGGACTCTGCACCATTATTTAATACAGTGAAATTTTGGGCAGCTGAATTTAAACGTGGCCGTAAGAGCTTGGGAGACGATGAACGTTCGGGACGTCCAATTACTGCAACTACCGACGAAAACATCGCCAAAGTTCACCAAATGGTACTAGACGACCGCCGAATTAAAGTGAGAGAGATAGCAGAGGTTATGAACATGTCAAAAGAACGTGTTTGTCACATATTAAATCAACATTTAGACATGAGAAAACTGACCGCGCGTTGGGTGCCGCGTTTGCTCACGTTGGACCAAAAACGTGTTCGAATGAACATTTCCAACGCTCTGTTGGCGCAGTTTAGGCGCAATAAATTCGAGTTTTGGCGTCAATTAATTGCTGTAGATGAAACTTACACCATTATACGCCCGAAACAAAAATACAGTCCAAACAGTGTATTGCAAAAAGGGAACCGGCTCCAAAAAAGACAAAAACTGTTTTTTCGGCTGGGAAAGTGAAGGCGACTGTTTTTTGGGATAGTCATGGAGTTATTTTAATCGATTTACTCGAAAAAGACAAAACTATTACAGGAGTATACTACCCATCATTACTTGACAAGGTGAAGGCAGAACTTGCGGAAAAACGGCCACATTGGCAGAAAAGCCTGTTTCAGCAAGACAACGCACCGTCTCACACCTCAGCGGTTGCCATGGCGAAAATCCACGAATTACAGTTTGAACTGCTTGACCATTCGTCTTACTCACCAGATCTAGCCCCAAGCGAAAAATTACGTTTGGAGGACAGAGATTTTCGTCAAATGAGAGCTTGTATCTTTGTTAGGTCGGAAACTTTTCAGACCACCCTCGTATGCTTATATTGCGTCTAAGTAACGCTGTGTATTGAAATAAAATATCGACTGAACATCTAAAGAATATATTTTATTTTGAAATATTAATCGAGTTAAATTACAAGTAACTACCAGTTACATAATGACGTCATACTATACAAGCCGAAAAAAAAGGCGTAAATATGATTACTGAGAGCATCAAAATAGCCTCATCAGTTACAGGTACTTTCTTTGATTACTTCTCTCAAAGTAGTCCTAAAGACGTGACTACCCACAACAATCGTCTTCGTTTTGTTGATATGTTACCATAAATCAACAACAATTTACGTACAACCGGGACTGGCATAGAAGGCAAAAACGCCCCGGTATCAATATCGTGATTAGCAGGGGAAAACTATGATCCTCGCCTAAAGAGTGTTATTATATATACGAGTATAAGTAAATATATTATGATATAGTTTCATGTACACATAAATAATTACAACTTCTCTAATCTTATGTTTATTGATTTGGATTAGAATATGGATGATACAAGAGCAATTTCTAGATATAAAACGATGTTATTGTAAAAAGTACAGGAGCCAAGAAATATCTAGTCATTATATCTATAAAAGAAGAAACTGACTGATTCACAGGTGAGATGCATATTTGTAAGGGGCACTTTTTTTTTACTTATCGATTCAAAAGTCTCAGTTGATATGATTAAAAATAACAATAATAAGTGACCTATTTTTCATAACTTTTCATAACTGTAACTATAAGTTAAATAAGGGAATAACGGTTGTACGAAGTTCGACATTTTTAAAGTTAAAACACGAAATTAGAAACAATTACGCGAGCGAAGCCTCGGGCTACAGCTAGTTCTTTATAAAAGTAAAGAAGACAACAAAAAACATTTTTAGTTTCTGTACGAAAACATCTGATATAAAAACGTCACACTTCCGTAGCAAGCTTCAGTCGTAACAATCCTCTATAGCTTTTGAAATCTTGCAATACTGTACCTAAAGATGAATAAAAAGAATTGCTGACAGCGATAGCAATAATCCACTGTTGACAATACAGCACGTTTTTATGATGGAGCCTGGATTTCATAAATGCAAATCTGATCAGTCTATTTCGCTTTGTAACTTTGTGATTAATTTTTACCAAGAAAAAATGTATTCCATTGTAGTACTTTTTTAATTTTGAGGTCTGACGTCTTATGAAAAGCTAGTGTAACAAAGATTATCATTTCATTCATATCAATGAGGCGCTCTCTTGAACAATTATAGTGAACTACAATTATACGTGAAATGTAGTAAACATAATTTATAAAATATTTATGGACCTTCGTTATACTTAAGTAGCTTTTGTGGGTGGCTTTCTTCATGTAAAAGTAATTTTTCAATCCCTTAGGAACATTTATAAATGAAAACTACACTGTCCTTTTCTGTAACCCTGGCAAATGTATGTAAAAAATCATGATAATCGGATAAAGGCCCTTTATCCGATTATCATGAATTTTTACATACATAAAATGCAAAAAAAAAAAAATTATATTATAATAGTAGTTCCCCGTCACCAGGAGCCGGAGAGTGCGAAATGATCTCCGACCTCCATGAGCGCAGACCAGGATAGCGGCTGACGGTTATCCTTGCAGAAGCAGGCCAGAGAAGGTGGCGTGTCGTGTTTTTTTCCTGATCTGGCATGAGTTTGGGCCACCTGTAATCTACGTCTGTGAGGTTCGCAGAAAGATTCTTATTAGAAATGGGTCCTCTGCAATAGACATACTTGTAACGGAACACCAGAAAACAGCAATTTAAAGCAGTTTTACCTGCATTCATGGTGACTGCTCTGCTCGAACCCGTTTTACAGTCTTTATTATTCAATTACACCATATAAACAAACAAAATTAGCATTAAATTAGTACAGAAGTATAATTTTTATACGAGTAGAGCACTTCAAACGCGCCCATGGGAAAGGAAATCTGTTACGTAAGCATTCATAATTAGGCTTATGGGTTACAGCCATACCATATTCACTCAACCTAATTACTTTTTTGTTGAAATAATTTGTCATAGAACATTAAATCTAATTAATGAACATAAAATTAAACACAATATACTTTCAAGGTAAAATATTCGATCGATATGTAGATCTAGTAGTTATTGATTATAACTGTTGGTCGTGGGTTCGATTCACACCCTGATCAGAAAATTGTGTGATGAGCACGATAATTTGTGTCTGGGAATATCTTATTTCCAATATGTATGTTGTTCTTAATATAAATACATATA